AGAGAAGGCAAAACAAAATTCTCTACATTGTCAGCGTTTTCTTATACATGAAAGAAATTGTCTCCTAAAAGAGGTTTTTCAGGTTTTTTTCCAACTCAAATCAAAAGGCAGGCCCTGAGCATGGTCTCTCTTTTCCACACGGGCTATCAAAAACTGACAAGTACGTCAGGAGGGGAGGACACAAACAGGGTGAAGAGAAAGAGGAGGAAAGATGGTGTGTGTTAAATACTGGAGAAAAGGGAATGGTGGGGTGGGGGGAGTCACCAAAACTCCAAAGCTCAAGCATGTGTGGATGTAAATGGGGGAGGACGAGAGGAGGTAGCAGGAGGGAGAATGCGTTTGCCCACATCTGAGGCGGCATCGCTGGGGTCTGGCCATGTGCCCCTGTGCAGCTTGGTCTGAGCCGCTGCAGGCCGTCGGGAGGGAGGCGGCGGCACAAAGAGCCTGCACAATGACTGCTCCCTCTGCTGTGGTCTCGCTTCAAAGGCCTCCGCCACCACCGTCTTTCACCATCAGGACAGAGGAGAGGAGAGGGAACGGGGGGAGTAAAGTGGCAGAAAATGAGTGAAAGAGGAAAAAGATGCTGAAGCTGGAGTTGAGGTTTTGCCTTCTTTAACAATGGCCAGACTGACTTGAGTAAAATAAAAATAAACACAATTTCCTTCAGCCCTGTGGTCCTCTTCCTGTCGGTGCCCTGCGTCACCTGGGGGCCTTTCATTCAAGGTTGAGTATTTTATAAGGTCACGTATTTTGTCCCTTCCAAAAAGCACTGCAGTGCCTCAAGGAGCCACAGAGGCGGAGGTGAGGGTGACAGTCAGGGGAAAGAAAGAGAGGAAGTGGAGAAGACATCACAAAAAACCAGGAGACTGGACCCTCATACTGTTACTGCAGCTGCCCAAACCACAAGACAATAGGCCCGTGACTCAATCAAAACAAATATCAAGCCCAAGTCTAAACAATGGGAGCACTACAAGTACATTTTCTCACATGTAAACACAAAAGCTTAAGAGGGGGCCACATCCCTTCTTAATGTTTTTTCTTTGCCGCCTTCCTGATAAGACAACCTTGACAGGGTAAAAGCTTTGCACCTCTAAGCTCAAACCACATATGCATACTTAAATTACATGGAGTTTGACATAGGGCCACCCCCTGGAAGTTCATATCCAAAGTGCTGAGAGGGTCATTTTCTTCACAGAGTAGGCTTTGTGCAGGTCAGGGGAGGGGGAGTGGGAGGACGGGAGGACTGTGGGGAGGAACATTTCCGATTCCATTTCCTACCCACGGTAACATTAGCTGGGGCATCGCTCTGATTTAAACCCAAAATCTCTCTCCTCCACCTCCTACCCATAACATTTTTTTTTGTGAAGAAATACATGAAAAACATCCTCTCATCTCCTCTGCGCTGCTCAGAGCGAGACCCAGAGCCACTTTTGCGATCAGGATCCCTTCCCCAATTATCCCAGGTCACTAATAAGGCAGGCTATAGAGGCACTGGGCTGTGCCACAGTGGCCCAGAGGCTGAGTGCCAAATTGAAACGACTCAGGGAATACAGGCACACGCCGAATCTTACTTAATTGCAGCTGGAGTGCATGACTGGCTGCTCAGATGTGTGTGAGAGACAGAAATGTGCAGAGAGTGATGAGGGTCAGGGAGAAGGAGAGAGAGAGAGAAGATGAGAGGCAGCAAAAACAAAGAGAAAAGGGAAAGAAATTAGGGTTGGGGGGTGGAGGATGAGTGGCAGCTGAGTGACAGTGGGCAAACTCACAACTCTGGAGAATGAGGGATTTTCTTCTTGCCCTCTTCTTGCCCTCCCTTTCCCCCCCCTCACACACTCACTCCCTCTTCTATCCTCTTCCCCTCTTCGCTCATCAAAGCCTTTTGACAGCTGACTTCTGGCTGCACACATCAGAGGGAACAGAGCCGGGGCACGACTGATACAGAGGGAGGAGGGGAGAAGGCAGCCACCAAAGCTCCTGCTCGAACAACACTTTCTTTCATGTTTCTGGACCACCACAAGTAGTTCAAGTGAGCCTCGATACACATCCTGGACTTCAATAATCGTTTTAATAAGCCAAGATACTGTATTGTGGATCACACAATTAAGAATACAACTTCTTGGGCAAGCATAAGAGTAAACCGACTTGCCAAGACGTGTTCTGAGTGTCAACAAGAGAGCACCTTCATAAGAGTTGCAGCAAAATGACTCACATGCAGTTTGAAAGTGTCTGCAACTCTGTGGACCTCATTAGTCAGATTAAAAAGAGCCACCTTTGTTAGGAGTGTCTCCCCCCCTGTGCAAAAAAAAAAAAAAAAAGGCCCCGGGCTGAAAGGGGAGTGCACTGGCTGAAATGGGAGAAAGCCTCGAGGGCATGTAGTGTATGTGTCTCAGCCAGATAACTATCTCAAAGGCTCTGAATCAGTCGGCTTAGTCAGACAAAAGGCTTAACAGCACAAGAGCAAGCAAAGAGGAGAAACAAAATCAAGAAGGCTGCAGAAACAGCGAGGACAGGAGGAGGAAAAGTGCACACTGTCGGTCAGTGTAAGAAAACAGGGCCGGGGCAACGGACTGAGGATGTGTGTGGTTTGAGGAGATGGAAACCTGGATTTCACGATGTCAGGGTAATGACTTCTCAGAGTGCTGTTCCACTGTGGTGAGAGCCAGCTGTGTGGCGGGCCCACAGTTTGACATGCTAAAGATAACAAAGAAAACCGACGTCAAGCTATAAAACACCGCTCGACGACTCAGCTCCTGGTTTGCCTCACAGGAAGAAAAACTCAGCAGAGGCCATAAAATATGAATATGAAAATGTATCGAGTCAATTTTCCTTTCAGAAAATCTACCTAGATTGAAGCATTTCACTTTGTTATGCTGAGTAGTCCTTATGACTGCACGAGCACTAAAAATAAAATCAAAAGGAGCAAATGTTCACAAAGAACCAAAGGGTGTTCTTTAGCATTAACCCATTAATGACCTTTCACATTCTTCATACAGGGAGAGACAGATGGGGCAGATGAAAAGAAACAGATAAATGAGTTCGTTTAAAGACGTTTGTTTGGCGTCTACACCAAGCTAACCTCAATCCAGCTCTTTGGGATCTGCATAAATTGAGGGCTTGGGGAGTTGTGGCAGTATCCTCGGTATTATGCATATTAGTTTAAGGCTGTCACTGAGAATCAGAAAGGGTGTCCATCCTGTTGCGGCTGGGCGCTGCTAATTATTGGATCAGAGATGAAGTGCTTTTTAGTGTTCGCTCTCTCTGTGCTTTGAAAACTGAATGCAGCAAAAAGGGGAAAAAAAAACTGCCCAATTTTGGGTTCAGAGCATCACTGGGTCAGGAATCGATCAAGTGGAAAACCTTTGTCTGGTTGGGGCAATTTCAACGCGAGAGCAGATTTGTCACATCTGCCTGGCTTTTTCTGCTGCCGAAAGGAAGCGGAATAACAGGATGCTACAATACTCGCAGGGAGGGAGAGGGAAGGGGAGAGCTCCACAGAGTGCACGGAAGACTTGCAGAGGGAAAATAGAGTTGCCTTTGCCGCAACATTGGGAATGTTAATCCGTCTTTCTACAGAAAAGGACAGTTCAGTGTCACCTGAATCAATATATCTCACCATGTGTTTAAAAAAAAAAAAAAGGTGCAGGGGTGCCTTTGTTATGAAGAGACCCTGAAACCCCAGATACCATGAAATCTTATTAAGGTATAGCATCTCATTAAGTTCTTGCCAAGCAAGCTGCTGAGTCTTTCTCTGCTTCACAGACATGCAGAGGCAACACATGCAGTCCATATGGGGCCGAACTGATACGTCAGCCTCCACCAGCAGTAAAAAAAAATGTTCTGGGCTTGTAAAACCATTTTCAGATGTATTATTTAGAAAAGGCTGAGTGTCTGATTCATTAAATGATATTTTTTTCAAAACCCCTTTCCCCCCCCAGCACAGGACAGAAGAATATCTGACCTTTCATCCAACCAGTATTCAGACAAAACTACTGAATTGACTGGTTCAGTATACACACACTCACAGAAAACCCAATGCCTATTGTACTGAGGCCAATGAGCAAACTCCACACACAAAGCACACTCCCTCCTCAGGCCTCAACACCACTGACACAATGACTATGGTGAGGTTAGGGTGGACCTTTTTAGGATTAGTCTGTGAGTACACACTCTCAAGTCAGTGTTTAGCAGTTTAAAAAGACTTGACATCAAGTAGACCAGACAGGGAGGGGATAGACGGGTTGTCTTACCATTTTCTCAGATGTACGCCGTTTTCATTCTCTGGCCTGTACCTGCAGAAAATTGCATCTTTGTTTAAAAAAAGAAAGATGTATTTGGACAGCACAAATTTTTTACTGTCCATTTGGCCTACACAGTGGACGGACCCAAAATAAAAAATAAAAAAAGTGACATTATGCTTAAGATGTATTTCTCAGTGGATTACAGTTGCGGTGCTGAGAGGGGGCTCAAAAGCACAGCTTAACAAGGTCAGCAGAAAGACATACTGTGGTGCAGCAAGCAACAAATAGTGCAAAGCCCAGAATCGGTAAGTAGTCGTATAGAATGGACAGACTAATCCCAAAGTAGGTGTAATATGTGAAGAGGGGGATGAGAGAGAGTGGCAAAGAACACATGGATGGAGGGATGTAAACAAAGAAAGTGTAGTAGTGACTCTACTGCCTGCACAGGATCAAGCCAGGCTACTGAAGCCAGAATGAGGAGAGTAAGTGACAGTCTGCTTAGTGCATAGCTCTACTCATTGGTTTTATTGTCCATGTCTACTGGGAGGTTAGTTCTCTTTTTTCAGCTTCCTAGAGTGTGCATTAGTAACGCTGCAGCGATACATTGTCAAAGGTGATGTGTATTCTCTGGGAAGATGGTGATATAGCGTACAACCTCAAAATGCAACAGTCAAGCAGAAAAAAAACTAGAGAAAGTGGAGGTTG